GTTTCAGCCCTGTAGCTTTCGTAGGTGTCGAGATGAAAAATCGGTACTGACGAACACACAGACACAAAAACACACCCTCACACAGAAAGCCTCTCGTCAATATGCGTTTTCTGCTTTGCGTAGAATCAAAAAATAAGCAAATTAGGCAGCTTATTTTTATGAAATCCATGCACTAAAGACTAATTAAAAATGATACGATAAAAGAGATAAAAAACATCTTTTGATTTGTCAGAGTCAAAAATTAAAAACTCAAAATTCATTTTCTGTGAAAGACAGAAAAAACTGGAAGTAACCCGAGTGGTAACAAGTGTAAATTGCAACCATTCATGTTGGTATACCAAGAATACCAAGTTTCACCTAGCTATCAAAATGGTTGTTCAATGTTTACAATATTAATGGGATGTTCTACACGACAGAAGCAGCTATGCTGAGCCCTTCCTAGGTTATACACTTCCTGGTAGTACCCACCGATTGTTCAGAGTTTCTACTCCCCCTCTTCGGCGGCCACCTGAGTAGCCATTTTCATTTGCACGAGGGATACTCATTACTGCGCATCGTCCACATTTGTAAGTCTATGCAGTTATATTAATGCGAGGTGGAAACTGGATTTTTCTGGATTCAGACTGATGTATGATTTAGTGAAGCTCAGTGAAAATACTGTGGATTATATTTAAATCGACAGCGTCATAGTTTCTCGTCCATACACAAATTTCATAACTCCCAACAATCATGCGGGGGTGTGTTGTTATAAAAACAAGAATGCAATTAAAACCTTGACACAGTTTTAACCTATAAAAGGCAGTTTCAGCGATCGTCAAGCGAAATATCCAACTCGAGCTCCTAAAAAACAATCACTCATAAGGTTGAATTTCATAAATCAGAAAGGTTTGAGAAATGGCCGGAAAGCCGGTTTTTTCAATTTACTAAAATCACATTTTGTCTTAATGTCACCTGCTTAACGTTTCAAATAATAACATTCTTAATCACATTTTTTAATGTTTCATTCACATTTTATCGAACTTTCACGAATTTTCAGTTCGCTTTTCTGCTACCATAATTCCAAATACAGGCCCTCTAAAGCAGGTACAGCTCCCCCTCCCTCCCGCTGTTTCGTTTCTGAGTATTTTGCTTGAAAATGAGTCAGAGTCCCGCCTTTCGGTGTTATCTGCAGTGTCAGAATTTTGATAAAAGTTTTAAATTTGACAGAAGAATTAAATTTAATAAAGATTGGGACGTCTACTTGGTTATGATCGTGGCAGTTTTTAACGACGTATGAAAACAGTGTTTTTTGCTCAGTGAGGAGAGGAGAAGAAATAGTTCGTGTTACCCTCCGATTTCTTGAACTGAGTAAGGCTACTTGCGATCTGAAATCAACTGCACTGTTGAGCAATCGGAGTGGCAATGTAACAGATGTTGGTACGGGACAGGTGTTTTCCCCTCCAGTAAAGGCATATCGGTCTTGTTTTTTGTAGGAATAGCAGAGCAGAGAAATTCATGCCTCACAGATTCATAAGAGTCGCTAAATTTTTGTTAGCTCTCGGTACTTTTTCATTCGAACTAGTCTTGTGCTGTGTGGCTGGTTCCCGAAACTACGGGGTTGGTAAAAACAATATGATAACCCAGGCTGGAACGCACCGGACGGGCCCGTGCGATCATGCGTTTTTGCACAGGACTTGA